CTCTGATAAGTTCTCTAGGGAGAATGAAAACAGATAGACTTTCCACCCTTTGGTTTTGTTGTAACATGTTGGAAGGGGTGGCAGGACAGGACAGCTTATCCTGAAGAGAGATCTCTTGTTTCACATGTTTACAAACCTTCACCGGGACACCTAGGCAAGCCCTCAGGTTTTTTACTGTGGAACACAGCAATTGCCGATATGGGACAATGCCGTCACCAGAGGGAGGTGTCAAAAAACCCAAAGGGAGCATTTTGAGAATAAACTGCCCCTAGAGAAAGTTTCCACCGGAGGAGTATCCACCTAAACAGTTTAATGGTGTGGCTGGGTGTGTGCCCACAGAGGTATTGAAAGAGTTCACTGAGAGAGCAGTTTAGTGTGCCTGGTTGCACCAGGAGGGTGAGCCAGTCCCAATTAAAGATGAGGCCCAACTGGGTGAAGAGCTGGTAGTGAGCATAAAGGGAGGAAGCCCAGATGAGAAAGAGGCTGCAGGGAGATGGCGGGGAGAGAGAACACTCCGGTTGACAGAGAGGGGAGAAAAAGCTTAGAGAGAGGCAGATGTACAGTAAAGCCAGGGAAGGGCCATGGGATGTGCCTGAAGGAAGGCCAAGGAGGGAGTGAGGAGTCTGGGAGAGCAGACCCTGCGTACCACGGGGTCCCTGGACTGGAACCCAGAGGAGAGGGAGGGACTGGGTTCCCCTACTGGCCTCTGGAAAAGGTAGTACGGAAACAGCCTGACTCAAGGGGGGAAAAGCTCTGGGTGATGTCACTCTGCACAAGAGCAGGAGGACAACGCTCCACAGCCTGGGCGAGGGAAAGAGTCTGCTGAGGAGTGAGCCTGGGTGAGGGCGAAGAGCCGTGTTTGTTTGGGTTTATTTTATTGTGTGCTTATTTACCTTGAAAGGGGGAGGACTACACATGACAGGGCCGGAGGGCTGAGTCACGAGAAGAGGCCGACCACCACAGTGCCAGAGTGAGTGTCACCAGGGGGCATGAAAGGAGGAGAGCCTGCTACGCCACAGCCAGTCAAGAGAGGGTACACAAGTAGTGAGTGCACTTGTGGACAAAAGGCCATGCAAAGCAGAAAGGATCTTGGAACTTTAATCGGGTCTCACTTATGTGGTGCAAATCAGGAGTACCTTCAGTGGAGTCATTCTGGAATCAACAGCAAACAGGAGAGGAAAATGAGATCTGATGTGACAGATGTTCGTCACTGCTCCCGGAAGGTGCTCCGGTACTGGGGTGATGAAGGCAGTAAAAGAACCTATGTACAATAGAATACAATTTACTGTTTCTTAAAGCTTCATGACACAAAGCCAGAGATCTTCTGCACTGATTTTTCACTATAAAAAACACATACTTCTTGTTTGGGAAAGTAATTATCATGGGATGCTCAAATAGGGTCTGAATTTTGCACATTAATGCATGTGTATTTCTTTAAATAGTATTAATAGAGAGTGACTCTATTGCAGTAGTGTACCTTCCAAGTTTCATGGCTGAATATTAAGTCTATAATGGCTGAACAATCCCGTGTAACACTAACAATGTTTCATGCCGCCCTGTTTTGCATTCGAACTGTCAGAGGCGTCTGGATGCATTTGAAATATCGTTGATCAAAGTTTGTCAACACTGAATTGGAAAATGTGCCCTTTTTTCTGGGGGTTAGTTCACTGCCAGGAAAGTAGTTCATGATCTACACTGATGATTACTCATTTGGAATTCAGAGTATTCCAGTTTGCCTTTTCTAAGCAGTGTTGTAGCAGTTTCCCAGCCAGGTATGTCTCCAGTTATGGTAATTATCTTTCAGTTAGGGAGCTAATTGACTCTGCTGCAGCAAGTGTGGAATAAATAATGTTACTATGGTAGCCAAGGGTTTGGAACACAAGATGTCTCATTTCCCTGAATTTTCTTTCTTCCTAAGAAATTGGGCCTTTTGTGACTGAGACGTGAGAGGTTTGAAGCTGGATTTTGTTCCTTCCTGGAAGTAAGGAAAAGAATGTGAGTTTTGTAAGGAGGAGTGCAAGCTTTGCCTGATTCTCTTTACCCTTATTCATTAACAAAGTGCTTACTGATGAGTCCCTTTGAAATCGGATGTGTGCATTCGAGTTAATGTTGGGATTGTCACTGGATAAAGGGTTTGCAGGGTCAGGATTGAAGAATTTGACCTAGAAATGGGTCTGAAACAAACTGCCAGACTCAGAGGCCCCCAAACTTTAAGGAAGATGGGACCAAAATCTGGGTCTGAACTTTGTGGCTGAGGCCTATCTCTACGCATACTATTACTTCTCGAAGGAAGCACCTTTTGCCCAAGTATCTCAGGATATGTCCACACTGCAAGTGAGAGTGTGATTGTAGCATGGGTAGGCTACTCATGCTGGCTTTAATCTAGCTAGCATAGGTAACAATAGTAAAGTAGGCTTTAGCAAGGGCTAGCAACCAGAGTACAAGCCATATGTACTCTGGTTGCTGCTACATCTACACTACTAGTGTTTCCTGTACTAGCTGGAATAAAGGCAGCAAGGGTATGCCTAGCCATGCTACATTCCCCTCTTTACTTGCAGTGTAGACATATCCTCAAAAGTAGTTTACAAACACTGCACCCATACTCCTTATTCTTGTTCATAGATTTCAAGGCTACAAGGGACCATTCTGATAATCTAATCTGACCTCCCGTATAACACATGCCAGAAAAGTTCCCCAAAATGATTCCTGTTTGAACTTCAGCAGATCTTTCCGAAAAAAACATCCAATCTTGATTTAAAAATTCCTAGTGATGGAGAATCTACCATGACCCTTGGTTAATTGTTCCAGTAGAATTCAATGGGAGCTTCACCGGAATGGAGTGCAGAATTCGTTACTAATGAGACATCAGAAGTAGAGCTGGACACAAGTTGTCATTTTTGTGCAAATATTTGTTTCCCACATCAGGTGCATTCACCCCCTCCCATGCCATTTTTCTCCCTCCCCAACTCTGCCCCACTCTGCTTTTTCTTTTGTCCAAAATACATTTAAAAAGTCTCCTTTTGTATAAAAACATACCCAAGAGTACATTGTTTGGATGGTTTTAATGAAAAGCCACCTTTACCCAAAAAAGGCGTGATTATTTTTGCATGGCATTTTGCAAACGGGTTAACTGAGGCCCAAGGAGGTTAAGTGACTTGTCCACGGTCACCCTGAGTCTGTGGCAGAGTCCCGATCCCAGGTACCATGCTCCTAACAAGAGATCACAGGCCCAGCTGGTATAAATCAGTGTAACTCCATTGACTTGGATGGAGCTACACTGTCTTACACCAACTTGGCCTCACATTTCCCTCTCTCCCCCCCCCCATACACACATATGATGGCCACTGCTATATCCCTGAGAGTTTAACAATATGATCTGCTTCTAAGCGTCCAGAGTACAAAGTTCATTTCATAATATAAGTTGATGCAAACTTTATGGTTCTATATGTTTCGTGCACTAGTCTCGCCAATGCTTCGCTTCTCTGAAGCCCATTTAATAGGCCAAGTTTTATAGTTAACTGCTAGTTTGTCTAGATTTATTGTCTTTTTTTAAATCGGAGAAGCTTCCAGATTTCAATTTAAAAGTGTTTTGTTCTAATTCGTTTTGCATTTATGGAGCATGGTATTTGTTGGGTGGAGAGACGTTGAGACCATAATCTGGCATGGCTGACTACGTTTCTAAATTTCAAACCACTGCTTTCTCTTTTTAAAAAACATTTTCATCTGCTGATACTAAACATTTTGATCATTCAGAATGTAAATTGCATTACCCATAGATACTGATGGGTTTGGGTATATACACATACAAATCAAGTATTGAATGATTCAAATACAAAATTATTTTCTGGTTCATACCCTTAATGACATATTTTTCCCATTTTCTGTAATTGCTTAAATGTTATATAGTTTACATACCCAAGCATTTAATAGCAACATTCTATGCGGGGAGAGGATAGGGTGCAGAGGGGGAGAACCACAAACAATTAAAATACCGTTGTTACAATTGATTGGAATGTTTTTCTTTCAGTGCATCATGTTAGGTAGTGTCATCAGAAGGCGATTCCCTGGAGAATCGTGGGGTAGAGTTGAAAGGGGCAGGAGAGGGAAATTCCTAGTGCTACATTCCAGCGGATCCGAACCTGATGTCCTTGCTCTAGCAGGACTCCCTGTAATGGGGTGGGCTGCTTCAGGTCATTCCTAAACACACAGCCAAGAGATAGTTAAAGGTTTTCCAGGCTGTGTGACCTCACCTAGCAAGCTCTGAAGGCCATCTGTTGACCAGCCCCTGTCTCTATTTGTTTTGCAAGGAAGCAGAATCTATAAAGAGTTTAATTACACCATAGAAGTGGTTTTCTTTTTGCTAAACAAATATTTGCAGCCTATTCAGGGTGACCAAGCATTCAAAGGGAAAAAAGCGGGCCACTTGCCATGCGTGTGGACTGGAAGGCATGAAGGGAGCACTTTGGTGAGGAGGATAGCAGGGTTTCAGCAGCTGGGCGAAGCACCACTTCCTCCCTCTTCCCCATTCCTGAAGCCCTACAAGCCATTCCAACAAGTCCAGAAAACTCTTCACAAAGCATCCTGAATTCCATACCAGCATCTTTGCTCCCCTTGCCCCTGGAGCTGGGGAATAGACAGGCACCCTCATACTCCAGTACATGAACCAACCTCTAATTCATGGGGATTAGGAAAAAACTTTCCCAGAAGCCACTTATTGTTTGGAATTCTTTGACTTTAAGTATATTTCAATAATGGGTGGGAAACTGACTTATTCGGTAATTAGTTTTCTCCCATGAACACAACCCCTCCTCACGGTGGGAATGATTGGAGGCCCAGGACATTTGCATGCTGTTTTCTGGACAGTGAGAATACAGGAAATGAGAGAATATTCTGTAAAAAAAAGTTTATTTCACTGATTTAAAGAACAGGCAGTGCAAAACATCTGGAAATCACCGGAATATGAGACATAAAATAAAAATATTTTAAATATGCATTTGTAATATAAAATAATCTTTCACTCTGGTAAGTAATCTTTCCAAATATTTTTAAAGATAGAAAATATAGCTAGATAATACATATATACAGCTTACAGGGTTTTTTTCTTTATTGTAACTGACACCACTAAGGTAAAAACAAATTCATCTGGGTCTTTAATGCTCATTATAACAGAAACAGACATTCTCTAAAACATTGGAGTCTGTGTTTTCAGAATTGCACATGCAAAAATGTATCCAAGTAATCTGTACACGTGATTGCGTGCAGAATTATAGTAATTATGCATGCAAATGATCATGCAGATGTCTTAAGGGTCATTTGCACATGTAATCCTCAACCCATGGGCTGGAAGTTACCTCTGGGATGTCCAGGAGTTCCAGCTGACTAACAACCTTGATTTTCCTTTTTAGAATGAAAATTGTTATATTTTTCAGCATTGTCCCCTACCTATCAATGTATTAGTGTGCTTCCAGTAAAGTGTGCTTGTCATCTTCATTATGTGTGGATTCAGAACTGTTTTGATCAGTTACAGCTGTTTTATCCTTTGCTCCAGTGCAAGAACTTCTCTTTCTATTTCATAAGGGAGGTCAGCATTAACTTGCTCTTCAAAATATTTCTTGATTTCCATTACCTCTTTTTCCCAGAACTCTTTGGAGACATCAAACAGTTCTGTCATGTCAATGCCTTCTAGGCCCTTCAGGTTCAAGGCTGCGTCAGCAGGGATGTAGCCTATAGCAGTTCGCTTGGCATCGGCCTCTCCACGGATTCTGTTGAACATCCATTCCAGCACACGGGAGTTCTCCCCATAACCAGGCCACAGGAATTTTCCTTGCTTGTCTTTTCGGAACCAGTTCACATGGAAGATCTTGGGCAGTTTTGCAGCTGGGCGATGTGCCATGCTAAGCCAGTGGGCAAGGTATTTGCCAAAGTTGTAGCCAAAGAAAGGCCGCATGGCAAAGGGGTCGTGCATAATGATTTTTCCTGTTAAAAGAATGTACGTAGAAAGTAAGATAATACTTAGCCCTCATACAACATTTTAACCTGTCAGCAAGAAGAGCTTTAAGAATCTGGTTAAGCATTATCCCCAATCTACAAATGGGGAAACTGAGGCAAAAATTGATTCAGAGTCTGAATTTCAGAGGCGCTAAGCATGGTCAACTCCAGTTTAAGTAAATGGACGGTGCGGATGGTCAGAACTCTGAAAATTCATCCCTGAGTGTCTGAAGTTGGGCATCCCAAAACTAGCTTGCATTGCCCATTCAACATGTGCTCTGTAGCAAAACAGACGACTTCAGTGACTTGTCCAAGATCACACAATGGCTCAGTATCAAGTCTTTCAACTCAGACTCCGGCATCCTGTTGGCCACACTGTGTCCTTGCTCCATATTACCCACATGGAAATGTTTTACTGGGTGTTGAATTTTAGGTTAGAATTTTTTTTAGCTCCAAGCAGAATATTTTGTATTTTGAAAACTGCACAATTCACAAAATTAACTCCCAAGAAGCAGACTTTAGTGTATAGTAATTTACGGTGATCACTGTTGGGTATCCAGAAAGGACTACTTTTAATATGGAAAGGCAAATTAGAATTTGATTTACCTTTGTGCTCAGCAGCTGCAGTTGCTTCAGATCTCATAGCTGCTCCTATAAATACACCATGCTGCCAGCTAAGGGCCTCATATACTAGAGGCACACCTGTAGAGAACAAAATAGTAATAATTAAAGGTCCAAAAGTCTTTGCTATAACAGCTTTAGCTACCTGAAGTACAGCAGTATGCATGTTACCATAGAATTCAGTCCCTCTTTTTCCTGTTATATAATTCAGTTCATTTTCCCCCCTCTTTCTTATTGGAAAATAATTTAGGCCAGAATTCTCTCTTTCTCTCTGGCCCAATGAATCTTTAAGTATTTGAAGCTGTTCCACTGTGTATAAATACTTTGAGTCCGTGAGCAAGAGAGAGAGAGAAAGAGAGACTGATACTGTAGTCTGGTGGTTACGGCACCCACCTAAAAGATGGGAGATCTAGGGTCCAGCCCCCCTACTCCAATCACTTTTTAATTAGCTATCCAAACTGAACAACTTCAATTGGAGAGCTTGAGGAAGCGCCACCTTGGAATATTCCATAGCTCAGTGCTTGGAGTGCTCCCTTCAGAGGTGGGAGACCCCGACGCAAATCATTTCTCCCAATCAAGCAGAGAAGGGAATCAAACCTAGGTGTCCTACATCCCAAGTGAGTGCTCTAGCCATAGGGCTAAAAGCCATCATGTGGGCATCTCTTGCTCCTGTGGCCAGATTTTGAATGGAACTTGGTCCAGTAGGCAGCCTCAGTTCCCCATCTATAAAATGGGGATAATACTTCATTTCTCCCACTCTTTCTCAGTCTGGGCTATCTAAATTATAAGCCCAGGCTCTGAGGCATGGACTGTATCTTGCTATCTATCTGTCCCATGCCTAGCACAATGGGGCCCCGATCTTTGTTGGGGCCCCTAGGTGTTAACATAATACAGATAATTATAAAGTGTTGGGCCCCCCAAAATCATAGGCCGCTTCTTAAAATGTGGTTTACTAATCTAGTTATTTTGCTGCTCTCGCTGCCCAGGGACACCACAGTAGCAAAAACCATATTTAAACCCAACTGTTGCCAGCACAGTTTTAGGCATACAGTGGCTAGGGCTTTGGTCTTGATACACATTATTGCAGCTCTTACCAGCAGGTCTACGGCCTCCAAATATTATACCCTCAATCGGCACTCCTTCTGGAGATTCCCAGGCAGGGTCAATGATTGGGCACTGGCTGGCAGGGGTGCAGAATCGAGAATTGGGATGGGCGCAAGTCTCCCCTGTACAGACCAAAATATTTCATGATTGCAGAATTAACGTGAAATGTGATGAGAAATTTAAAAAGTCCCCCAAACATGCAGAGTTACCATTCCCTGGAGTCCACTTCTTGTTCTTCCATGAAGTCAGTGTCACTCCTGGTGCAAGTGGTTCATCAATGCCTTCCCAGTATATGCCTCCATCGCTGGTTTCTGCTACATTGGTGAAGATGGTATTCTTGTGTATGGTCTTTATGGCATTGGGGTTTGTTTTTACTGATGTCCCAGGAGCAACTCCAAAAAATCCATTTTCTGGATTGATTGCCCTTAAATTACCTGGAATTTAAGAGATACCAAACAATGATACAAAACCCAACTTACCATTTGAGCTCTTGGCAGACTAGGATCCAGATCCTGCTGCCATCAAAGTCAGAGGGAAGTGGCCACGGACATTAATGAGAGCAGGACTGGTCCCTAGAGCAATTCAGCCTTAAAGTAAGAAGAGTTACCTTGCTCATCGAATTTCATCCAGGCAATATCATCCCCAACACACTCAATTTTCCATCCTGGCAGAGTTGGGTTCATCATAGCCAAGTTAGTTTTTCCACATGCACTGGGGAATGCCGCGGTAAAGTACTTCTTCTCACCCTCTGGGTTTGTGATACCCAGAATCTATTGAAAAATAAATGTCTCTGTTTAATATGCTTATTTTTCCTGCACTTGTGTTATTACCAGTAAATGGCAATAATAAAACATGCTGGATTTGCTGCAGATAGAATTTTCTTTGACAAAGTGTCCCCTTATGGAATACATGTGAGCAGGTCGCAGGTTTTTCAAATTTATTCACACATTTACTCAAACTTTATTATTATTGTGTTACATAGTGCACCCAATGAGCTTAGAGATGAAAGAGAAAAGGGAGATGGGGCAGTAGTTGGAGTGGCAAGTGGGGTGGCAAGTAGGAATGACTAGCGCATACTTTTATTGTGAAGTGAAAGAGCCAGAGGAGAGTGAGAGGCTAAGGAGAGGAGAGGGGGAGGGAGGGAGGGTGAGTGTGAGGGAGATCAATTTACTTTACTTTATAGATTAAAAATATTCAGACTTTGAATATTTTTGTGTTGCTGAGCTGTGATGGATGATCAGGTAAGCCACATGGTATTTTTCAGTTCCCTGAGTGGGTCAACCTGGCATAAATACTTGTATGAATGAATGTAAAATGTCTTTGCCGTGAAAACTCAAGTGCGTACCTAGCAAATTCACTTTGCAGGACCATTTTAGTGAAACTTGATTGCTCAAATGAGAGTGGAAAGTGAACACAGGAAGGGCATGAACATAGGCAAATGCAATTCATTTGAAAAAGCAAATGAATATTTTCAGGAGTTTTTTTCAGGTCTGCTTTTAATATTAAAGACAATTTTACAAACTATGGACCCTATCCTGCAAGCTGTTGTATGCATGTAGACCCGTATTCCCATGTGTATCCTTATTGAAGTGAATGGGGTCTGCACAGGCACTGAGGTCTGCCTGTATGGAACATAATTCAGGATCAGAGCCTAGACAAGCAGATGGAAATCTTGCTTAGATCCCTATTTTTATATTTTCTTCTATAAAATGCTTATTGATCAACAACACAGGTACTTCCCTATTTCTACATAAGCTGGTTGTATGATATGTATATCTCACAGCACAGTAATATTCATGCCAGATAGTAATTCCACTAATACTGTATCAAGTCATGACATATTCACGCTGCGCTGTTTTGAGGTTTAATTGCTTTAAAAAATGCACTTATGATTTTAACGGCTCTTACCAGCATGTGCTCAGCAAGCCAGCCCTCTTCCTTGGCAATTCTGCTGGCAATCCTGAGGGCAAAGCACTTTTTCCCCAGCAAGGAGTTTCCTCCATAACCACTGCCAAATGAGATGATTTCTCTGCGATCAGGAATCTGAGCAATCAGAGTCAAATCTGGGTTGCAGGGCCAATTGTTTACTAGTGGTTCTGCAAAACACAATGCACTACTCGTGAATATAGGAATTGCCAGATTGGGTCAGATCCAAGGTTCATTTAGTCAGCGTCCTGTGTCTGACACTGGACAGTACCAGATGCTTCAGAAACCCTGTAGTGGGCATCTGTGGAATAATCTGCCCCCTAGAAAGGCCTTAAATCCTAATTCCTTCACCTTGGACTTGACCTGCTTTTCTTGCACAATCCAAAACCTCCCATTGACTTCACTGGCAGTTTTCAGTGTGCCAAGGATATAAGACAGGTGCAACACATATGTCTGAGAATTAGCCAGAGTTAACGGTTAATACGATTACTTACTTTTTAGTGGGAAAGGACACCCAACCGAATGAAGGCATTTTACAAACTCTCCATTCCCTAGGGCTTCCAAGACGGCTGTTCCCATCCGGGTCATGATTCTCATGCTGGCCACCACGTACGGTGAATCTGTCAGCTCAATCCCAAACTTGCATAAAGGAGACCCAATGGGCCCCATACTAAAGGGGATGACATACATTGTACGTCCTGTAAAGTAGGAGCAGAGCCACGTGAGTGAGATGTGACCAAGAAGAAAAACAGTGTATTGTTAGAATAATCATTAAAAAGTGCATTGTCCCTTTACATTTTCTCACTTCCTTAAAAGCTCTCCACCTTTTGCGAGGTGGTTCCAGAGGATATTTATAGATTTGAAATGTTCTTTTTTGTCAGGTTATGTAATAAAAGGTTTTGTTTTTAACTACTAGTAGTTTTCTGTGTTGTTAAATGATAAAAGCTGCTGTGCTGTGTGTAGGTAGAATTGTCTAGCAGTCTCAGAAGGAGCAAGGGGCCAAATTCTCTGCTAGTGTAAACTGGTGGAATTCCATTGAAGAGAATTTGACCCAAGGAGTCAGGATTCCTGGGTTCTTTCCTCAATTTTCCATCTACTGCTGACTCTCTGTTGATTTCAGGAAAGTCACCCAAGCTTTAGTTGCCCTTCTTTAAAATGGGTAGTAGAATGACCGCGTATATGTATGCAGAGCTCTGAGACTGAAAGGCCTGATGAAATGGATTAGGTGCCTAACCTTATGTGCCAAAGTTTGTAAATCTTAGCCAAATGTGTTTGTATTTTTAGATTATTATTTATTATTACTGGTGTTATTTTATTATTATGAAAGTGTCATGTGAATTTTCTTTTTACCTTTCATGCACCCCGGGAATCTGACATTGAAGGCTTTCTCAAAATCTTCTTCTGACATCCAGTGACCCAGCTGGCTAGTTCCAGTTTTAGGGATTGGAATGGTATCTCTCTGCTCCTGAGTGATAATGACTGTTTTGCTTTCAATTCTTGCCACATCCCTTGGATCAGTGAGAGCCAACCAACTATTTTTAAAAAAAAAATCAGGAAATTGTGTTTTGGTCGTTAAAAAGTGGTAAGTAGAGTACATTTAATCCTTCCCTAGAGGGAAGGCACTATAGGGTAAAATGCATTATAGTGGGTAAGGTGACAGAGCCCATAACGTCCAAATATCTTTCCAGACAGCCACAGCTTATTCAGATAAAGGATCGGTGGAATGTATTCTCTCATACAAAATAGCTACGAATATTGCAGAATGAACTGACGGTGTCATGGCTTTAGAAGTTTAGCTGTAGTATAGTTACATGTTAATCTCCCTTGACCTCAGCTTCACCAACAGTCAAATGGGATTAATAACTCATCAGGAGTTATAAGACTTGACTCTATTCTTATTTACACCAGTATAAATCGAGAGTTTTGCCAGTTTTACACAGAAATCAATAGAGCGACTCCTGGCTAAAGCAGAGACCCTGTAAACACTTTGCATACAGGTGTAAGTGTTTGCAGGATCAGGACCTAAGTGAGATCAGAATCTAACCCATTGTGTTGGCAAAGCATTTTGAAGACTTAAGGTCCTACACAAGTCACATGATATGGTTTCTGTTCCTGAATTGGATGATTTATGTAATAGAAAAATGAATTGTAAACTGTGAATTGTAAACTGTGAATATTCCAATTGAATAATACCGTTTAAATCAGCATTGGGTGAATATTCAAGGATAAAGTGCGCTTTTCCTGAGTACTCAAATGCTCAGGGAAAGTAAACAGTAAAGGGTTTCGAACACAGTTGAAATGAAATGCCCTTTTAAATATAAACGTTCATGGAAAATTATATACCACAATTCTCTCAGATCTAACCCTGACTTTCTTTTACATTTGTCTGTTACTTACCAGTTCTCATACTTCTTCAGCCTCTTGATCATGCCTTGTTCTACCATGATATCCAGAATGTTTTTGTTCTCTTCTTCTGAGCCATCACAGATATGAATTCTAGCAGGTTGGCATAGCTTGGCATTGCTTTCAATGAAGTATCTCACTTCCTGAGACAAGCTCTTCAGATCCCCCTGGATGAGTCGTGGGATTATGTTCAGTCGAGTCTTCAGCTGGGGAGTCATTATTTGTAGGCTGCAGTGGATATTGTCTGCAATCAAAGATCAAACATTTGGCCTGTTAGCACATTACCCAACAATTCCTAATGGAAGGAATATGCTTTTCTAAAAACACATTCAGTAATAAAAAGAATGTGTAATAGATTTAATTGTGTGCTTATGGTAATAAATCTAAATCAAACCTGTGCATAGATATGGAATTTAAAGCTCTAGAAGAATGCATAACATTTATATATAGAAACTCCACTTACTTTCCTGTAAAAGCGTTCAGAGAGGATTTCACTGCTTCTTCTACCTGTTCAGATTTTGCCTACTTTGGTCTATTCTTGTGATCATTTACTTCCAAGGAGGAATCCTCCTCTCTTAAATACTCCTCTCATGCTGGAGTCCTTCCCACCAGCTGAGGTGAAGCAGGCTTGTCCCCTATGTCATCACAGGATGGCTCTAGGAACAGTGCCGTGGACAGTTATCGTCATGAACAATTGACAAGAAGCCGCGAAGAGGTAATTATTTAACAGGCTCGATTAATGAATGCTCAAAGCCAAGATTCTCAGCCCTTGGATTTGCTGTTTTAAGCAATTACAAAACTTGTTGGTTTGGTCAATCTTTGAACTAGTTCTGCTCTGATGCAAAAAGTGTTGTAACTCCTCAATGTGTGGGAAAGGTTGTGCGCAATGAGTGGCTGCAACTAGAACACCCAGGGTAGTAAAGCATAATAGACAGCCTGGCACATCTCGTATGTGTGTGCCTGCTAGTTGGCTGTGAACTGGTGCCTCATACAAAGTGTGTTTACTCACCTTGGAAACACTGCCTGATGTGGGGATAAAGTGCAGCTTTGAGCAGCAATAGCAGGGGAATAAAAGAGCGCATTTCACATTCTAGTCACATATCAATGTACCTGGAGGTTTTAAGTTTGTGCATGAAGTTCTGAAAAGCTATGCCCAAATCATTCTTGCTGATGAATTTCCTATAGTGTTAGATATAAGCAAAACCTCTGTCTCTCTAAGCCGGGGCTTTTCATGTGTACAGAACAGGTAGTCTCAAAATTCTGTAACGTCCCAGTAGAGTGAGCAGTGACAGATCAGCAACTGTCTGAGCACCTAAACAAACGTCCGTTATTGTTGATTTAACAGAGCTACTATGGAAAATGTAAACCTGTATCTAAATTGCTACCCAAGAAAAATCACAAAACGTCCTTGTGCTTAGCAAGGAAGAGTTAATAGCAGTTCTCTAAGTTAATAAAAGAATAAAATAAAATTCTGCTTTCCATATGTAACTTCCTGTAAGGCAACAGCAGCTGTTTTGTCATTAATTGATATAATTTGATTGATGAAATGATTGACCCCATGGTAACCCTGTGAAAGTATTTCATTCCTGCACGGTTCCTAGAGATAGGACCAGATTTGCAGAGTTCAGCCATTCAGTTGCACGTCTTTATAACTGATGCAATCCTGCCCACAAATCAGACAACTGAGGACAACTGTATGGCCTAAACTCTTTGGATATCTGGCCCATAACTCCCTATGCATTTTGCTGTGTTTAGGTCTTTAGATTTCCACCTCTTACAGGGGTTCTCACAACAAATTTTTTGGTGGCCTCAGAGTACAGCCACCAACTCTTGCTGGTGGCCGCTATGACAATTTTTCCTAAAATACTTAATTAACTTGAGGAAAAACATATAAATATGAACATATATACATCCAAATCACAGTAATTTATTTATGTAAGGGTTTTTTTGCAGACTGGATAATAAAAATAATGTACAGTTGTCTCTATTCTTTACTAGACCTAAACAGAATAGAAACATAGATAAGATTCATAGCATGTCTTTGTCTTGTTGTTGTTTCTTTTGCTTTTTTGGTTGCATTTTTGTGTTAGACTTGCTAGCTAGTAAGTCTGCTTCTATGAAAAATGATATTTGTATGTTTGTTAATATCACTTTTCACAGCAGACTTCTTAGCTAGCTGGGAGGCAGTGAAAAGTGATATCAACAAACATACAAATATCACTTTTCACAGCAGACTTACTCAGCCCTGGCAAGCTGGGGGATAAATTAAACCTTAGATGAGGAGGTAGGGAGGGAGGCAGTGGGGGCCAGGGGTGATGGGGTGGATGGGTCTGGGGATGGCAGAGCCTGCTGCCTGCCACCCCAGGGCTGAAGCCGGAAGCCAGAGCCCCACTGCCCCTGGGAAGGTGGGGAACTCACACCAGCTGTCTGCTCCTCTGGCGTTGTGACTCCAAAGGGGGACAGAGCCAAACCCATCCTGGCGGTCCCATGGGAAGGGGCCGCTGTTTGCCCCCACCCCGCCAATCACTGCCCAGAAGGCTGTGGCTGCAAGAAAAGCCGTATTTGAGAAACACTCTCTTCGAAAATGCTTTTCATAAAGAGAAGCTTGAGATTTGTATGCATGTGCCCTCCCACTCTGGGTATGTACAAATACTGCAGTGTTTCAGGCAAATTGTGCATTTGCATGTGCAAAGAAAAGTCACAAAATAAAGCCACCATGTCAACCAGATCAGATATAAGCAGTCATAAGATCATAAGAATGGCCATACTGGATCAGACCAAAGGTCCATCTAACCCAGTATCCTAGCTTCTGACAGTGGCCAATGCCAGATGCTTCAGATGGAATGAACAGAACAGGGAAGTTATTGAGTGATCCATCCTCTGTTGTTCAGTCCGATCTTCTGGCAATCAGAGGTTTAGGGGCACCCAGAGTATGGGATTGCATCCTTTACCATCTTGGCTAATAGCCAATGATGGACCTATCCTCCATTAACTTATCTAATTCTTTTTTGAACCCAGTTATACTTTTGGCCTTCACAACATCCCCTGGCAATGAGTTCCACAGGTTGACTGCATTCTGTGAAGAAGTAGTTCCTTACATTTGTTTTAAATCTGCTGCCTATTAATTTATTTGGGTGATTCCTGGTTCATGTGTTATGTGAAGGAGCAAATAACACTTCCCCATTCACTTCCTTCACACATTTCATGCTTTTATAGACCTTTGTCACATCCCTCCTTAGTTGTCTCTTTTCTAAGCTGAACAGTACCAGTCTTTTTAATCTCTCCTCATACGGAAGCTGTTCCATACCCCTAATAATTTTTGTTGCCCTTTGCTGTACGTTTTCCAATTCTAATACCTTTTTTGAGATGGGGTGACCAGAACTGCATGAAGTATTCAAGGTGTATGTGTACTATGGATTTATATAATGGCATTATAATATTGATTATGATACCTTCTTTGACTGCTGCTGTACACTGAGCAGATGTTTTCAGAGATCTATCCATGATAACTCCAAGATCTCTTTCTTGAGTGGTAGCAGTCAATTTAGACTCCCATCATTTTCTGTGTATAGTTGGGATTATATTTTCCAATGTGCATCACTTTGCACTTACCAGCATTGAATCTCATCTGCCATTTTGTTGCCCAGTCACCCCGTTTAGTGAGATCCCTTTGTAATGCTTCACAGTCAGCTTTGGACTTAACTATCTTCAGTATTAGTGTATCATTTGCAAATTTTACCACCTTACTTTTCAACCGTTTCACCCCCAGTCCCAGCAGAGATGCTGAGCACTGAATGAAATGGTCTTTCCATCTCATACCTATATATATATATAATATAAAGTTTCTAGGACAGCAAATCCTGGATCTGACTTTAGTCAGGCTATTGAGTATTATGAAGTAATAAAATTGGTGTCAGTGGCCTAGCTAATGAGCTACAAGCTTGTAGGGGAATTCAGAAGCTGTCAAAAGTTCAAGTTTATGCCATTCAGTAATATTTTTCCAAGTAGACTTCCATTAGTTAGACTTCATTGTTACAGACAATTCATCTCTTGGTACTGGAATGCAAACCCTGAATTGTAATACTGTGCAATGCCAAGCCTATCTGTATTGTAGATAAAAATTCCAACCTGACCCACAACCTCCACCTTTAAAATGCCATCCATTTAAAGGGTCTCTTGTGTTAGTTGGTGAGTGACTGGCAGAAACAGCAATACATGAAAGAAAAGAGTACACTCCTGGGAAAGTCTTTTATTGTGTTTTGTGCAAGCAAAGGAAAGAAAATAGTGAAGTAACAAGAGATGTCCTTGATGCATAGCAAGGCCAACATTCCTGCTAAAACCAAAGGCTGGTAAAGCATGGAGTGGATAAGAGAGACTAAAGATTGCTCCGAAAGATACGAATGCATTAAGATAGGTCAAATTAAAAGCAATTTAATGCTGAGAGGAAGGTTGCCCATGCTTTGGGCCCACTTACAGGTGGAACCCTGCTTGGGTTCCATCAGTACTGTGGCAAAATCAGACTCTGTAAAATGTTCTGACTTTGCTTCATCAGAATTTGCTCATTTGGCAATGTTTTGTTGGAATTTTTCCAACCCGCTCTAAGCTTTATATGTCTTAATTAATAGATCTTTTTCCTGTTCTGTCCTCATATAGTTTCACACCCCATCCGTGCACATCTGTTAATAGATAAATTGTCAGTAGGTGGCACTCAAGAGTATGCAGCATTGTGCCCTTGCTAGAGGTATATGGCTGGAACTGTGTATCGTATTAAATATCATTACAGTTCCTATGCAGGGCAGTGGGGAAGGAGAACATGGGGGAGATGGTTCGGTGTCAGGCCAGGATTGGGATGATGGGATGTGTATTTATGTGGCTTCAGTATCATCACACAACTGAGAGTTTCACCCAGACCTTAGGTTGCAGGTGACAGTTTTCATCTAGAGACAGGGAGAGAGAGAGAGAGAGAGAGAGAGAAAGAGATTCTGCAGACCCAGCCAGACAGCCAATAGAGCAAACACATGTTAGCCAAGAAAACCTCTTCCAGGGACTAAGCTGCCTTCACTGATGACATGGTTGAGGATGTTGACAAACAGGAGTTAATAGGCAAATCAAAAGGAGCTCTGTAAATTTCAGCTCACAGGAAACTTCCATGTTTGCCTAACGGAATAAGCAAAATTCTTGAGGATTTTTCTTAAACTTGTGAGAGGGCCAAGTTTGCTAACCTGCAGAGCATAGTCCAGGGCACACTGCATTTACCTAAGGATTATCGTGTGCTTGAGCTAGCGTGGGCTGTTTCCAAGTCATCACTGGGCACAGACAGCAGGTTAACTGGTGATTGTTGCTGCCTATTGTCAGTAGTACCATGTATATTATTTTTAATGATGTATTTGTAGCCAGAGGCTGTGGTGATGGGCCATAAGAAATCACTGTATTGTGTATATATGAACAAGCAAGAGAGAGTAAAATAACAATGTTTATATCTGTAGAAAAAGGCAATGGGCCAGACTCATCTTAGTGACATCAGTGCAAAGCCAAATGGATGGCACTGCTGAGTGAAGCTATGTC